CCCCCCCCTCTCAAAATCCAAAAAAAGAACCCCTTAATGTGACAATCAAAATTAGCAGTTGATTAACATTTTCTTTTTGGGTAAAATAGTAAAATATTTAAACTACTCCTAGGTTGTAGGAAATAGAGTAAAACATACCATATTGTTTGAAAAATCTCTTAGGGGGCGTTCTTTTTTCAGATTTTGAGAGGGGGAAAGTTGGTAAATGGGATTTTGATTCTCATTAACTAAGAAAACCATGTTCATTTTTTAGATTTATTTTTCTAGGTAAATGATACCCATCTCCTAGGTGGGTAAATAACTTTCCAACATGGGGAGAAATTTGCTTCAATAGGACAAAAATGCACCTTTTAATAATGAATTTTTATAACTAAAATGATCATTGCCTTATTTACATGAGAAATAAAAGAACATGAGTAAATTCACTTACTCGGGTAAGTGACTTATTGAAGAGTGAACAGGGCATTAAAGTATCCTTAAAGTTTTTTTTTTTTTTTTTTTTTGACAATTGGCATCATCATTCAATATTAATCAATATCTAGAGATTGGATGGTGCAGTTTGACTAAAAATTCAACCCTGTTGTCAAGATAAAACTTAAGGCTGTGTTTGGTTTGAAGGAAAAAAGTAGGGAAAGGAAAGAAAACCTTTACAAACCTTGTATAGTTCTCCTTACCTTTTCCTTCAAACCAAACATAGCCTAAAAAAACTTCTGCCGCTCTAGAGATTGGATGGCGCACTCTTTGACTAAAACTTCAACCCTGCTGTCAAGATAAAACTTAAGGCTGTGTTTGGTTTGAAGGAAAAGGAAAAAAAACTTTTACAAACCTTGTATAGTTCTCCTTACCTTTTCCTTCAAACCAAACATAGCCTAAAAGAAACTTCTACCGCTCTCTATCACTTGAATTTTTGCATAAAATTGCATTGATTATCACACACAAGTCCAATTCTCTATGAGGGATGCTTTTCATGACAGTTTGGGTGCTCTGGAATACACCCTAGAACATATGACCCAGCTAATTGCAAGTAGAGGCCTTGTTGAGAATTTCAATCCATTGGATTTTATTTTAAAAATTTGAAGAACAATGAAAGGACATTTTTGACTGAAAACAATAGTTTTTAGAAATTAAAAAAAAAAAGTATTAGTCATGTGACATTACATGTGAATGAATTATAACAATATTCTAATAATAGGGGAGAATTTTGTCAATTATTAAAAAAATCAGAATATTTTAAGGGATTTTTTAAACAATATATTAAAGACATGACTTTATAGTAAGTGTTAATTGGTCTCTACATTCTCTCCAATTATATTATATTTGGAGTTAGGGATGAATCCGGATTTCCTGAACTAATCAATCACTAATTCTGTGTTTGGTTTAAAAGAAACACATGCAGGAAAAATGTGAACAAAATCTAGAAATTAATTCTAAAGAAGTCGTGATTGCAATTGCACACTTCAATTAACATAATTCACTTGATTTTTATAGAAACGTTAATGCGGACGCGGTTAATTATTTCAGTGTACCGTAGGATACAGCAACTGATTGGCCCACACCATCATGAGTTTATGACCAATAAGATCTCTTCCATTGTCCCATTACATGTACAGTAGTTCGCGTTATATTCCTCTAAGGGGAACAGACCATATTTCACCAATCACAATGTGCCACATCATCGTGGTGTGTCCTTATTTGTTCGTAGAAATGTAGATAATTCGAACTAGTATGTAGCGATCTATCTGGTTGAATTTGTATTGTGGATCCACCATCGTCGATCCATTAGATACAAGTATAACATCAGCAAAGCGTCCAAGGTCCCACCCACCACGCACTTTGACCTTTGACTTCAGATGTATAAAATCAATCCTCCCACATTTTTATTTTATCTATATATTTTTTTACAGGGTAAATAAAATGGTCTGTGATTTCCAGCAACAGAATGAAGAACTACTAAAAAGTCCTTCCAACTGAGCCAGGGGTCCTCTCTCTCTCTCTCTCTCCATTGTTGAAGGGTTCCTCCCGCGAAATCCACCACAAACGAACGGCTTCGCTGATTTGATTATGTCAGGCTTTGATCTCTAGAGAGTACGAGAAGGAAAGACAACGACAAGACTCCGTTCTCGAAGTTCCTTCGGCGATGGGCAACGACTCATCCAAAGAAGAGTTGGTCCAGTTGCTCAAGAGATTCGGCGCCTATCTCACCGTCAAGATGTCCAATCTCTTCTCGATCTCCTTCGACAATCTGGTTCTTATATTTCTCTCTTTGGTTTCTTCTCAGTTAGGAATTATCATACTCGGTTTGGGGATCTATTAGATTCTTCTACATGCCACCTCTCTGTCCTTTAATTTGCTTCGGCTGATGAGATAAAAATTCTGTATTGATTTTAAATTCTACTTTTATGATAAATTTTAAGATTGATTCGTCTTTCAGAACAATTGATTGAATATTTTTTAGACCGATTCCGAGTTTTGATGGAAAAGAGTAGGAATCTTAGTATGATACATCAGAAAATATGTAATAATAAAATGAGTTGCATGAGAGCTTTCGGTCGCTTACAATTAGTAGGATTTTCGGCTGCTGATGTTTGTTTCTAATAAAAGTAAAGGTTTACCACCGTGATCACCCTAAGTAAAAGATGCGAAGTCCTTCTTTCTTGAGCACTTGCCTGGATGCTTATTCCTAATTAAAAAAAAAAAACTGTGTACACTATGGGGTTTTCACTTTCCTTTCCCCCATAATCCATGAAGTTACCATCTGATAATAGTGTTTCCTGAGGTTATAGCATTGAGAGCTATGTTACTAATCTGATAGTGCTGTTAAGAAATGTGGCAAACACCTTTTGCAAAGCCATACCATATGCAAGTATGTAACTGCATTACTTATTGGAGTTTCTTGCTGCTTTGATTTCAAAATTAGAATTCTCGTTCTCTTGGGGCTCTTGCTGGGCTTGCTATTGCAATAGTATTTACCTGGAGATTGTTCAGAACTCCACCCAGGCATCAAAGAAGACAACCTAAGCGGCTGGCTCCTACACCTAGTACTTCGGGTGTGAATACTCATTCAGATGGAGCTCCAGTTTCTCCCGGAATTTGTTCTTCAGAGGATTCAAGAGCTCAGAATGTGATTGATGAGTTCTTTCAACCAGTAAAGGTATTAAATGATTCCTTTTATGCTTGAATAAGTGTTTTGTTAATAGAGATTGAAGTTTGATGTCTTTTGTTCTCTGTTTTTCAGCCAACGCTAGGACAAATAGTAAGGCAAAAGTTGAGTGAGGGAAGGAAGGTATTTGGTCTATCTCCTCTACCTGCACAAACTGCATTTTCATGCATTAGATAGTTAACTTTGTTGGTATTTGGTTTAGTTGTTGATGTTGGGATGGATTGGGAAGGTATTAACTGTCAATTTAATACATCAGAAAATGTATTGGTTTAATTGTTGATGTTGGTATTTGGTTTAGTTGTGGGGTCCTATTCAGCTTACTGCAATACGTTGATCTATCTATATCTATTTGAATTATCGAAAAAAATGGTGATCTATCTGAGATATGAGATCTACTGTAAATTGTAAAATATATTGGTTGGCTAAAGGTTCCTGCTCCTTCTTTGTTAGAAGAATTTATAATTTTCACACCCTTTCATTTGGTCTTTGTAGGTGACATGTCGGTTGCTTGGTGTAATTCTTGAGGAGAGTAGTCCAGAGGAGCTCCAGGTAAGTGATATCCTTTTCTGTACGTTTACATAAAAAAAAAAAAAGAAAGAACACATAATGACGAACATTGTTTAATTTGTTGTTGTGCAGAAACAAGCAACAGTGAGATCTTCTGTTCTGGAAGTACTATTAGAGATCACAAAATTCTGTGATATTTATCTCATGGAAAGAATATTGGATGATGAAAGTGGGGTGTGTCCACATGCTTTTTCTTATGTCTTCTTGATATTTTAAACAGTGATTATTTCATTTTCATAAAGAAAAATGAAAGCAGAGAAGTTGCCTACTTATGCATGATGTGTACAAGTGAAACTTGAGTGGTAAAGCAGCATGCTCCTTTTGCATGCTTTTAGCTCCTTTGTGAACCTCAGTGTTCTTTATTTTTTTAATTATTACAAGGTAATTCTATTTAGAGGAGTTTGAAAGTTCTGAACAATAAGTCAATAATGTGAGCGGTTAAACAAAAACAGTTATGCCATTTTGTGAAATGGAAAACCTGACTCAAAATTGTTAAGACTTACATGTCAATTAAATTGTTTCTTTTAAGATTTTCTTCCATGTCCACTGCATGCATCCTTTCAAGAATACCTCACTTTTACATGTGGACCAATCTTGGGTGCAATAGCAACATGTAATCAATTCTGTCCATGTAGTTTTTAATTTAAGTTACTTTCACTTTAAGGGTTTTATTATGTAGATGCTTCCTTGTCAAAAGGCTTGGACAATTATGGCTGTCTATTAGTTGATTTAGCCCTATCCTTTAAAGCTTATTTCCAATCTTGAAAGAGAACTATGGTTTCCATACAATTTATAATGCCAGGTCATCTATTTTTGGGTCTATATCTTAAAGTCCTCTCATTTAAGGAATTGCATCCTTGCAATTTTGGTGCGGGGACCAATATCATTTTTGTAACTAATGATGGTTAAATGGGTGTTTATCTCGTAAATGTTGCACCATAGATGTCATATAATTTTTTTGTATAGGGGGTTCATAACTGACTCCTGCTTTCCTTATTATATTAATGAAAGGCATTCTCACATACCTGTAAAAAAATCATATTTTACAGTCTTATAAAGAATTTATGCATTATGCTGCTAATTTGCACTTATTTTGTTTAACTTAACTACCTTGTCATTTACAAGAGGCAAAAACATTTTGCAGGAAAAGGTTCTTTTAGCCTTAGAAAATGCTGGAGTTTTCACTTCTGGTGGTTTAATCAAAGATAAGGTAATTATCATTGTTGACTTAAAAAGAATTAACAGAAAACATACAAACTACTTTATGTGATCTTGATTATGCTAATATTCTTCTGATGGGATTATGTGATACCACTCTATTTGCTACTGTAAGATTGCTCGTGCAACCTTTTTTTCTTGTGTAAATTTCCTATGCTGCATAAAAGATTGTATCGGTTTTATAGTTTCTACATTCTAGACTCTTCCCTTGCCCTTTTTTCTCTCTTCTGTTTGTGTATTTAGGATCTTTATCAAGTCTTAAAACTATTAGAATTCTTAGATTTTCTTAGCACTCTGCTTTCACTGCTTCACTTTCCAATTAGCAACTTATTTATGCTTCAGGTATCATTTGAGTGACCTAGAAGGAAGTTTCTTTGACATGGATATGATTGTTTTACTGATAAGAAGTGCTTTTAAGTGCTCGCCGACCCGTTTTGTTGAATGAGGTGACTTGAAAATTGTGATTTGAGTATTTAATAGGAAAGAGTTTGGATGCAGTGATGCACCAAAAGCCAAAAGGCCAGGGGGACAGAAACCCTTGTAAAGATGGTATATGGATAAGAATAATTGCAAATTGGATCCTTATCTATGTCATTGTTACCAGGGTTGGTAAAAAATGTTGCAGTACTTTTTTATTGCGGGTTAAGATTTCCTAACTAGTATTATCCAAATACTAACCAGTACTGAGGTGAAGCATTACTGAAGCAAGTAAATATGTCCTGTGAGGTACTAAAGTCCCATTGTAATTATGGAGGTTGTCAAGGGGCCATGGATTGGTGTGATGGTAAAATCTCAGGCTTGAATCTGAGAGCGTCCACTTTGTGCCAAAAAGTGCCAAAGAGTAAGCCTATATCCAGTCGACCCCTCCTACATATAACTGGGGCCAACATTGGATCCCAAGCTTTTGTCTATTTTAACAAGGATACTGGGAGAACTTTCATCAATCACCCCCCCCCCCCATAGTGATACCATTTGATTGGTTGCAAGTTTTATAGACATCATTCCTTTTTGGTATCATAGTCAAGCTCAATAAAAACCAAGCTTGAAGTCTATTCAATCCATTATTTATGAGTCTTTGTTAATTTTGTGAGATGTGTTTTGCTTTACCAACAGCTATATGTTTATACATTAAGTTAACCAGCCTGTGATAGGAAACTGAAGTTGAGATATGGTTGCTATGGTATTATCTGTCGCAATATGATATTCTTTTCTGAACATTGTTTTACATCTTTTTCAACAAAAAGGACAAAACAAAATGAAATGTTTTCTTGCCAATTTGTAGCCCATTTGTAATTCCTCGTGTAAATGTGCCTGCAGGTTCTCTTCTGTAGCACAGAGAATGGACGATCATCTTTTGTTCGGCAACTTGAACCAGATTGGCATATTGATACAAATCCTGAGATCATCTTCCAGTTGGCAGTACATTCCTATTACCCATCTCTCATTTCTTTAACTGTGGTTTAACCACCATTTTGTCTATGAAGTTCTAGTTGCACATGATACAACCTTTTTTTTTTTTTGATAGCATAATCTTCTAGAATGCACTATCTAAGTTTTCCTTTTATTTGTTCAGAGGTTCATCAAATTTCAGCTTCACATCTCTCCTAACAGATCTGAATGTACTGCTTCTAATGTGTTCTGTTCACCAACCTTGGAGCAGTTTTTTGGATTTCCAGATAGAAATTAATTCACCAGTAAGTATGCTGCTCAAGCTATCCATCGGGAAAAAAAACGACGAAAAGAAAAAAAAGATTGTATGATGTTGAAGCTTGTAAGAGATGCACACAAGTTATATGCTTGCTCTGATGCTGTGTTAGCATAATAGCCCTTAGACGATGACAATTGAAGTCTCTGGTCTATGTTGCATGGATCAAATTGCAATGATTATTGCAAATTGGTCTACTATCCATGGTGTTAATAGATGGTGCAAATTGCAATGACTATTGACTAGATCCAACAATGAAGGCCTGTAGATTACTGTAGTCTCTGGTCTATGCTGACATTGTACTTCACGCTTTCCAGTTTTAGTTTATAATGCCATTTTGCCCTTTTGCTCCATTTAGGGGTTGGGTGATTGGGTCTACACCTATACTTGGATACTGGTACAGGTGTTAGAATCTGACATGGGTATGAAGTGTTGGATTTGGCAAGCCTAAAATTTTAAGGACTGGGCTGTTATGTGCTAGTGTTAGATAGCATGTCTTTTATGTAATAAATAATAAGATAGTTGTTGAAAAAGAAAAAAAATAAATGAAGATGTACAAATCAGCAAACAACACTGCAAATAAAGGTTGATGAAGTATTACAAACTTACCATTCATGTCCAAATTCTACCCTAGTTTGAGGTTCTTTATTCACATATACAGATGAAACAAAATAGTCCCCACGTGTTATGTGGTTGTTAATGCCCACAGCTGTGCAGCAAGGATACGACAACCATTCTGAACCGAAGTGTCCATGTAACATGGTTCCAAGCCTAGACTTGTACCTTTTGCAGTGACAATTTTAGCTTGTATTGCCATTTTTAACCTTTTGTTATGCTTTGGAATTTAACCAGCTGCCTCCTATGCGCAACATGATATGGCGAGGAACAGAGGATTACCCATTTGATCTTGCCTGTTGCTCAAGATAGTTAAAGAATTCAAGCCATTGCTCAAGCCATGTTGACTGGTCGTCATTTGTCAAGTGATGGAACCACAAGCTGATTCCCGTTATTTTCTGGGAGGAGGATGTGGTTTTCCTTGTTGAAAATTTTGTGCATTAGATTGCTTATCTGAACTCGGAAGAGTTATCCATGAAAATTTCTGAACTAGTTAATAACTTTTCTATGCAGTATTTGTTACTCGAGTATGCAATTATGGTGACTTGAGCTCATTTGGTATCCATATTTCTTACGGTAGTCTTGTGCAAGAAACATTGGTGGAAGTTTCATTTCCTTTATCATGTCACGTACCGAGTGAACTAGGATACCGCAAGTCATATGTATGGTTCTCGGTCAAGTCAACTTCACAACTTTCTTGAATTGATCAAATCCGTCTTGACTATAAATTGACTGCCAAGTGCCAACCTAGCACTAATAAAGTGTAATTATTCCCAAATTCTCAATGCTTCGCTCTTGATTGGAATCGTTGCCCAGCAGCACAACAGCACCAAGTGATCGTAGCTTTCCTGTCTGAATTTAGCTCAGAACACTAAATCGAGCATAAAACATTTGTTTGGGGCGATGCATTAGGCCTTAATCCGGCCTCAGGAGTAAACTAGTAAAATAGATGACAGTATGGTAAAGCTTCATAATGTGCGAGCGCGTCAATGACCGAGTTTGACAAAATTATAGTTTGCAATAGAAGCTTTGTTGTGAAATACAGCCAATCAATAGGACAATATTAAAGTTTAGTTTTGGCAGGTCTAAGTTTTTCCCTTTGTTAATAGTGCGTGTGCCTACGAGATGGGAAACCGAGTGAAACCCAGATCTTACATTGAGGCTATGCTTGGTTTGAAGGAAAATGTAGGGAAAGGAAGGGAAACATAGGGAAACATTTACAACCCTTGTATTGGTTTCCCTGTCTTTCCCTTCCTTTCCATACCTTTTCTTTCAAACCAAACATAGCCTGAAGATGAGTTTTGGAGCACTTGAGTTGCAATTTTTGACTGTGCAGCCTCCATGTTCATCAGCAAGAATGCAATATCTTTAAATTGATTGCTACCCTCCGGAGTCCGGAGGCCTGAGTTCTCCGTAGGGCATCTCTACCTTTTCATCTTTTCCTGGTAGCTCGGGTCCAGCGTCCCATTGGACTGCTTTCGCATTCTCTTGCATTCACATCAAACTTATGAGCAGGAATCAATGGAAAATAAAATCAATTAATAACAAAATTGCTATTAAGACTTCTAGTGGATGAAGTTGCTAAAACAAAGTACTCTAGAGATGTGTTGGAACTGCGTATTTCTCTTTCCCTCTCTATCTCCCGTCGCAACTAATGTGAATTGTGGTCAACTGCTGATAAAAAGAGAACAAATACGCCATGAAGGAAACGGCTACAGACCTTCACAAATCAAGCCTTTTGTTACGCCTGGGCACATTCCATAAAATGATGATAGAGCAATCTTCCTGTTGAGGAATATATGATTTAGGCTGGTGATTAGTCTCCTTCCCCAGTGCACTTGGGGCACCTGCACTTGAAACCATAATCTGCAAGTAGTGCTTGTCTCTCTTCAAATGGAAGATCCTCATCAATGTACGAAATAGTGATCTGAAAATTTGAGTATCATTAATTAATGTTACTTTGCTGTTTTAAATCATAAATCTCAAAAAATAAAGGTTCTTTCAATAAGCAGGACCAAAAAAGGCTTTTGTTTTGTAATTTCTGTTTAGTGGTGTTAAAGGATGCAAAATGCTGAGACGAATAGTAATACCTCGTCTCCCTTAGAAATGGACTGGAGTGCAATTATAATGGCTTGGCCATCTCTATCCTGCAATTAAATTTAGATAAAATGGTTTCAGATTCACCTGTCACAAAGTGGCGGAAACTACAAATTGGAGCATAATACAAAATATCAATGGCATGCAATACTCAAATCAAGGCATCTGCTACTGATAAGTTATCGCTTGTATAATTAGTGAGGTTACCACTCGAATCCATATGGATTATATGATTGACAAGGTTATTGCATTACAAACTTTGAAAGTCTATTGATCTCATAAAGAATTTAGAATGCCATTGCCTACTTAAAAGAGAAAAAAAAAGAATCTTCTTGTAACTGCAACCTTGAAAGATAAATTACCTCCTCTCTTTTGAATGCTTTGGCATTAGGATGGCAGGAATGGTTCATACAACTTTGCATGGGAAAGAATGCTGTGCCTGACACCCCCAAACAGAAGGACAATGACAGGAAGAAATTAACACGCCATTATGTTTACATCTACATAAAAGTATCAGAGAAATGAAGAGATAGAAGCATATATAGTGCAGTTCTATATCCAATGAAATTTGCTTAACTTTCAAAAGAAAATGTGTACAAAATGTAATACGATGATTACTTAAATTCATAAGATTAACCATGTCATGTACCATGAATAATATTTGCCACATATTATTGCATGACCAAAGGGAATAGGCATTAGTTCAAAAAATCAGATGCTTATCTTTCACCTTAAAGAATTTGCAACAATATAAAATAGGCATTTTTATTACATACAACATTTTACATGATATGCCACAGCAAAAATATTTCGGATAGCTGATCCTTCATGAAACAAATAAAAGTATGTATTAGAATTTAGAATCTACCCTTATCATGTCAGAGAAAAAGCTTGAATCAATTTTAAAAACACAGGAAGTTTAGTGGCAATTATAATGTTACTTTTGTGACAATGCAATTCTGTCAGCATCAACTACCTTGACAACAAACTGAATAATCATCACCAAGTGCATCTAGAATCTGCCTTGTAATTTTCTCAGCTTCTTCCTGTGGTACATACTTTTTGTTGTATATCAGGAAAACTAGCAGGAAAAAGGAGATCAAGAGTATATTTTATTACAATGAAAATGGAATACAATTTTTCTGACCTTCTCCGGATATGGAAGATCATCAATATACAAGAAATAGTCCTCCACTGGTGATGCTACAACTAAATCACTACAGAAATAACAAGTGTTATTAAACAAGTTACAAATTTGACATTTTTAGAAGTGCCATTGTTCTTAAAGTCCTATTTATCAAAAAAAAAAAAATCTCAAAGCCCTGGAGAATATCTAAACTTACAGATTATTTAACTCGAACATTCCAATAATATGCCCATAGATTTCAAGTGAAAACACTCAGCTAAGTCAAGGATATCAATTTAAGAATCCTATTTAAAACATAGAGATGCATAATTACCATTGAAATAACCACCCAATTTGAAAATGGTTTCTTCACTTCAAAGGATACAGGGTGCACATTCTTTGTCGAAGATTGATTCCTTTAGGAGCTGCAATGACTGGAAAGTTCAAAGCAACTCTTTAGGACAAAGAGACCAAAACAAGAAATTGTATCATTATTCCAAATCTTTATAAGACAAACATATAAGCAGACGTTCCCACCTAATATGAGTAAAATTAATTATGTTATTGAGAATGAGGGAATATTGGCGATTAACAAGCTTTGAATCAAACTGGATATTAACATGAAAATTGTGGAGGTACTCAAATGGATAAGTGGTTATACAAGAGGCTTTGGGACAAAATGTTAAAAGTCCATGGTAATTCCATATATCTCATAAAGAACTAACTTTAAAAGCAACTTGCTGACTGCAATAAAACTCAAAATATTACAAGGATGTAGTGTCATTACTGGGCTGGAAGAAATGAGACTAGGACAATAGTCAAATATGACTGTCTGTTTGGAACCTAACTAACCATAGTAGACAACAAAGAACAGATATCTTTTGGTCTAGTGCAACAAAAAACATTGATTAGACATAAAAGTTTTGTTTGCAGCTTGCTGGATCTAAGAGGATGAGGTGAAGAAGAAATAAGACAGGTACTGGGGGTAATGAGAAAAGATTAAGTTCACCATGAATGCTAGTTCCCTTATTTGCATTCTAAATGAAGCCTCATCAGAGTAATCAACATCATCTGGCAAAGCAATACAGTCCCACCACCTACATAAAAGCCAGAAACATTGAGTAAATGTCTTAACATATTATTGTGGGTACGAAAGACTTTTGTGCACAAACCAGAAGAGAGAAGACCATAAAACTGAAACTAGGAAAAGAAAATACAAAAGTACGGCACTAGCATTAATATGGTTTGAGAAAAAACAAAAAATATTTTTGAAGTGAATGACAGCTACCTTTTGTTAATTGGAAGTTTGTGAGAAAATTTTTCTTTCCCCTGTTATCTGACGTTAATTGAGCCATTCCTTGAGAAGAAGGAATATGTTTGTATCAAATAGTCTATTTGGCTTCCAATACCGAAAAAATTTAGAAAACAAAAAAAAAGCATTGACTACCGTTAAAATGGTTTGGAAATATCAATGGTAATATTGCTATTCACTATAAGTGGGTTGTACAAGGTTCTTATTGTGGATACTTTTGTGCTTTGAAAGGTGAAAGGTGTGAAGCTAGGCATTAAGACTGGATGCATATCTAACCTTTACCATTTTCTTGCTTCAAAAAATGAATACATTTTTATAACTGATAAAAAAATATCATATATTTTATAGGAAGAATTGCTTGTTCATTTTGGTCCATACCATTTGACCACAGTACTTAATTGGTTGGGGGATTACCCAGTACCTTCCTTCTCAAATACACTGATCCATCCTGTGTTTGGTTGTGAGGAAATCAAAACCAAGAACAGAATCTAAACCAAAAGGGACTTTTTGTAATTTCTAATTTGGTTGATAAGGGAATAAAAAAATGAAAAAGAACTGAACTGAACTGAACAAAGTGTTGGAATCACATGGAGCTTAATTTATTAAAGGTCTTGGTTAAAAGTTGCTTAGATCCAGTAACTGTTAATTTCTAATTTGGTTGATAAAAGAATAAAAAATGAAAAAGAACTGAACTCAACTGAACAAAGCCTTGGAATCGCATGAAGCTTAATTTATTAAAGGTCTTGGTTAAAAGTTGACTAGATCCAGGATATTTGTTGAACTAAGCGGTTATGTAGTGGAGGATAGTGTATTTCTCCCTCAATTGGAGACTTTGCAAAGAGTGGAACAACCAAGTGCTAGAGTGCAAATACAGATGTCTGAAGGTAGTAGAAGCTAGGATGAAATTCTACCGTCTATTGTTGCATAGTGTTGAAAGAAAAATGATTTAAATCCTTATTCAGTGATTTTCTCTTGGGATTGAATTGTTTTTGGTAGTCCCTTCTCTTGAGAAATCATGCAGCCCCCATAATCTGTATCTTCTACTCTTCTCCTTGCCATATACATTACAGTTCTAGGTGTTTCCATTCAATGAGTATTATCACATTGCAGGTAAATGAGCTTACCTCCTCTTGTATCCCATTGATATCGGCCTCCAAGCCTCCAAAAGCATTGAAAAACTAGAATCCTCCAATGTGTTTGGATTAGTGCACTGTTCTTTGCCTTCAAGCTTAGCTGCTTTCAACTTCTTGTATTTTAAAATTGTGAATGAAATTGCCTGAAAAATGGAAATCCAAGCATATCTGATTATCAAGGTTGATGCATAGATTTGCTTTAAGCTTCTTTTCAGACCTGTACATGATTAAGGAAAGAACACTTCATTTTCTAAACCTTTAAATATTATTTACACAGATCCTCTACTCAGATATACCTTAAGTCTATCCTGCTTTTAGCTTCTATCCAATGTTTTTAGCTTCTAAGTTTTTACTTTTAAGTAATTCCCTGATTTCTTTAGATTTTCCAAATATCTCAGTGAAATTAGTGAAATGTTCCCAAAATAAAGGCATCATTTGATATTAAAGTTGAAAACCATGGCTGGAAAAGAACTTCACTATTTGCGTCAGACGTGCATATGCATTTATACTTCTAATCATTAACAGTTTGTAGCAAAAGGAAAAATGCAATGCAGGGAGATGCATGGCAGGCATGAAAAGCAAGAATACAGAGGGTGAAAAATCAGGTAACGATATAAGGTATTCCTTTTTTAGATAAAAAGGTAACTTTCATTCACTCAAACAAATAGATAGGGCAAAACAGGAGACCGGATCTGCTCCTCACACCTGAGGCGCCTCACATGCACATCCTATCATGCATTGGGAATATCTCCCATACTTATTAGTTATTATTCACAAGAGATGTTCCAAATGCACAGTGATGTGCCAGTGAGGCGCCCATATGTGAGGAGCAGATCCCGTCACGTAAAACAGACCAAAAGATCAGCTGACTGATTTAATTACCTAGGTATCCATCTATAACTGCAACAAAGAGAAGAAGACATCTCATGAACTTTATGAAAAAAATGCACAAGCCTCCACAAGGACCTGAACCATGAATTTAGCCCAGCTAATTGCATTCCTGGAGTCTCCCTCCCACAATAGAATAAGCCTGAATAGATCAAGTGATTCACAGGCCAGTGAAGAGGGCATGGATCTATCACCTCTGATTCTGAAGCATCATAAGCTGATATAGGGCCACCAAAACCACTGCATAATGCCTTCAGAATTCAAGATAACTCCCCCAATGCCAGAAGCCACAAGAAGGTCATTACAACCCATAAACTCATGGTTGTCAAGGCGTCACCTAGGTGCCCGCCTAGGCACCCTTGGCTGGGCGCCTCGCCCAAACACCTTGACTTTTAGCAATTAGGCACCCTTCTAGGCAACAAAAATGACAAGGTGAGCGCCTTTTATAATATCATGTATATTGCTTCTTATTAATGTATGTGTTAAAAGCTTTATTATATGCTATATATATATATATATATACAGTTATACCTTGTTTTAATGTTTTACTATTGAAATTTAAAAGATCAAAGGGTTTTGAGGAGAGAAAAAGAAAGAGAGAAAAAAAAGAAAGAGGAAAGAAAGAATAGAATTATAAAGAAGTTATTTTTTTTCTATTCTCTCTCTCTCTAATTAAATAAAACATAAACTCCATCCTTGTTTTTTCTATTTTACTTTCCATCTTGAATATTTATCTTATAAAGTTAATTGATATGAAATTGCTCTTTTAGATATTTATTATAGTAGTATTATTTTTTAAAATAATAAAATTAATATATATGTAAAAGATTTTTATCTTTTAGATGTGATGATTGGCCACATTTTTAGAGGAAATTTAATGTTCTTACTAAAGAGAATTGCTGTTTTTTCAATTAATATACATGCTGAATGGTATATAAAACTAGGGAACTAGCCAAAAGTAAGTCTTTTATATTATAAAATTTGTATCACCTAGGCGACTAGGCATCCTAGTGTTTTGAAAACTATGATATAACTACCATCAAACTGGAGAACAAATCTACTTTCTGGTCTCAGAGGAAAACCAGAGAATGATATATCAAACTGGAGAATGATATAGGGTATTCCAATCACCAACTGTTGCCAAAATTCTGTTAATTTTTGCCTGCTAATGAGTTTAATAGGAAGTACATATTAAGTAATGTAAAATTCAAGAATCTTATTCAAGATACTGCCAACTTTGAGGCAGAACCATGCACTTTCACATCATCCAGCCCTAATGAGTTGCCTCCACAATAAAGACACATGCAGACAGGCCTTCCAGAAGAACCGGATTCTATTTCAAGAGCTATTATCTGCAACAGAGACACTCTTACCTGACCACAGTTGCAATTAATAGTACTGTTCTCCCTTGAAAGGGGTAGATTACCAAGTGTGCAACAGTAGAGTTCAAACTGAGAATTTCTCCAGGCACTTCTCTCATCTTGTAAAAAGCCTAAATTGTCTCATCACAAATGTTATGATTTTTAGTTAACAGGCTTGGCTACTTGAGACAATAAATCTCCTCATGTATGGTAATCAATACCCATGAAATCATTTGCCACCTGAATCCCTGATATTGACTAGTCATAAAGCACCAACTCTTGCTTTGTGAACTGGTAAGATATGTTACTATTTTTTTTGGACCAATAACTCGTAGATTTTATTAAAATTAGAGAGAAAAAACACAGGTACAAGAAAAGGGAGATAAACTCTCTTATCTCACCTAACCAAAACAACAAGACAAGAAAACAATTACAAGATAGCCCAGAGCAAAGAGTCCCTAGATGCCCCTTGTTTAGCTAACCCATCAGAAAAGGAGTTAGCATTTCTTTTAACCCAACTCATCTTCACCTCAATTTCTTGGTTAACCAATTAAATTTCCTCTTCTCATTGTTGTAGTTCCAAAAATTAGCAGTATCATTTCTCAGCCAATCCACTACCAGTTTAGAATTGCCTTCTATGACCAATTTGGTGATATTCAGTTCAATTGCCCTTTAAGTTCCTTCGATAACAGCTGAAATCTCAGCTTTAAGAGAATCACCCAATCCAATTGGCCCTGAAAAGAGAGCAATTATCACTTCCTCCTCATTTCTTAAGACACCCCCAATACTTGATGGGCCCAGATTACCCATGCTGCTTCCATCAAAATTAAGTTTGATAAAACCACTAGGAGGAGTCCAAGAGGGTAAGGATGTGTCTTTAACCGGAGATGAACTTGCAATTTCCTTCCAATTTCTGAACAAATCATCTGCTGGAAAGTCTTAAAAAGAGCCAAAAACTTCAGCCAATGTACTGCTCTGATCTGAATCAGCTCCAGAATTTCTGGCAGTCTTCTTTCCCTATCTGAGAAAATTCTCCCGTTTCTTTTTTCCCAAATAGTCCAGCAAACAGCAGCCCTAAGACATCTCCACATAACTCTTCCTCTTTTTTTCAACTAGCTAAAAAAGGATGGAGCAAAAAGTCTTTGTACATCTAGTGGAGGAGACCATTTGCATCCAAACAAAGATGAACACCAGTCCCAAATGTGATTAGTAACAGAGAAGGAAATCAGTAAATGACAACCAGTCTCACGGTCTGACCTTCAGTCTTACATAGAACACACCAGTGGGGAGATCAACAATTCGTAGGCCTCTTTCTCTGAAGAAGATCACAAGTGTTGACTCTTTCCAGGATTGCTTCCCAACAGAAACTCCAAACCTTTGGAGGAATCGGTTTGCACTAGACTTCCTTTACCCGAAAATGCTGCCCTAACTGACCCAATGGATGAACTAGAGCTTTGAAGTAAGAAACACAAGAAAAAACTCCAGAGGCTAATAAAGTCCAGACCCTTCTATCTGATTTAGAGGGATGTAAGAAAATACCTTCTAGAATATTAAAAAGAGACAAAGTACTATTCAGTTCTAACTCCCTAACTGTTCTTCTAAAACCCAAGTTCCACCCAAACCCTGAGGAAGCTTGTGATGGCACCAAGAAACTGGATATAGGCTTATTTTTCAGATTAGACATAAGATTGAGGCATGTGGCAAGGTGATAGGATCTTCTTATGCATTAGGCATAAGGTTCAAAGGTATGAGCCTTAAGCCTCACGAGATCTTGTTCTTTCAAGAGAAAAAGAATGAATTAAAGTACAAAGCCTACAAAGCACAAAAGGACTACAATTTTATATAAGAACGTACATATAAACAATGAATCAAAGTACCCAGAGCTTTCTTGCAAATACTTCTAGACTACTTATGTAAATAGAAACCTCAAATGGGTGTTGAAAGCAAAAAAGCCCTAATAATTATAAAAATTACAAGCACACATCTGGAAAACTTAAAACTTGTTTTAACAATAAAAGAAAAGCTTAAATTTTGTCTTTGACTTAGTCCTGTGATCAGAACTTATGATGTGAGGCCTGTCTTTTATACTTTTAAGTCTGAAGCTCGAGGTCAAGCCTCAGGATGTTTTCCTTAAGCCTCACCAAACAGCAAGTCACAGGGCACAAGCCTCGCATACCTTTAAAGTACTGGCTAAGAGTTAATACCAAAGCTACATGAATTGAAAATCTCATCAACAGCATGAGTTTGCCCCCCACTGAACTTGGGTGAAACTTGAAACCCTCATACATGGTGCAATATTCCCAAATTGAGCTTTGGCCATGTCTGTGCTTAGCCCCCTGAATTCCTGATAACACAGTAGAGTGTTGGAATGGCTTTTCTACAGTAATACAATCATCTAATTTACTGTTTTTTTATGAGTACCATCTAATTTACTGTTGGTGATAAAAAAATTCCAAACTGAGCAGCAATTGGATTAAACTAACAACATGCATATGTCCACCAGTGCATTTAATTATTACTAAGCTGTCTGATTCATTGCCAGTTTTAACTTAGGTAAGCTTATTCGCATGGAAAAGTATAAGACCCAGTAAAGTAAAATTAGAAAGATGAGTTGTATTTATGTTGGATATATTGCATATACAGTACTTGGTGACAGAAGAAAACACTATAACATTAAAGAAAAATTAACCATTCATCCATGACATGTATAACCAAGCATACCTTAGCAGCAGGGATGAAGATGTCATTTGTTTCTGACAAAGAAAAAAATAACATAATCTTTATCAGAAGGAAAACAGAAAACAAACCAGAAAATGATTGTGGCTTGAAAAAATTGCAGTACAGAAAATACCATCCTAATTATACAACTAGATGGGCCAGTTGCATCTATGACAAAAGATTAGAACCTTACCATTGGCATGTTGTATAAATTTTACAAGTGCCTCCCTGCAAGAAGATCCTGACCTCTCCCCAGTACATAGTAAGGAATGAAACAATTCCCAATCAACCTTGGCACATGATTCACTATAAAAATTTGCAAGTTAATGTCATCAAAAAGACCTTCCACTGTACAGACTTCAAGCTTATAGAAAAAAAATGGAATATTAGTACCAATACTGGAAACAACAACTAAGCCAAAATGCCATTCTATAGATGTTTTCATGTAATCACCAGCATGAGTATCAACTCCTAGATTCTTTCCCTATCTATGGGACTTGCTTTCACATGGGGCATGTGACACAGCTTCAAATCACAGTGAGTGGAACACTGGTCCTTCTTCGCATTCTTTGCAACCCATTCACAATTTAATAATTCATACTATCATCTAGAAGCAATGGCATACTATATGATATTATAGCCACAATACATAGGTGTGCAACTTGGGCCAGATTAGCCCAAATCCAACCTGAGAAAGTCAGATCGGATTGGGTTGGATTAAGGGTTAGGTTAGGATGAAGGTTGGAAATCATAACTTCAGGTTGGGTTAGGGTTGAGGCCTCAGGCAACCCAACCCAACCCAAACTCAACTTGTCTATTCATATTTGTATATATAAGAATTACAATATATATATATATATATATAATGTGCATCAACATCAACAATTTTCAGTTTAAAACAAGTACAATACCATAAAACACTATAACTTTGCCATACACACCAATGCTAAAGATAGTTAACCCTTATAAGCTAATCCCGAATATAAGAAGCAAGAACCTTTTTAAGCAAAAAGAAGTGAAGATGTTGAGCCAACCTGAGCCCAACCCAAATTAGGGTTGAGAGTTCCACAACTCGAATTGAGTCAGGGTTGACCCCAACCCAACTTACACCCTTTAACCACACAGAATTTAATTTGCAATATTCTCTTTGTTGAGCCTGTTTATTGGTGTTCTTGCAAACAAAATTTTATAATGAAAGTAAAAAGTGATGCACTTGTTTCTAGTAGTAACATATTGTAATATACTAATGATAAGTTGCTTATGAACAATAGCACAATTCAGAGAGAAAGATTTCCATGTTTGCATGGAAGAAATTAGGTTTACTAACCTGCAGTAGTATGCCTCTCCACATCCACCAGGACATGACACAACTGTAGGCAAAGAGAACTGCTTTGAGTAAGGCAAAACCAAGTTACCATTCATTAGTGATTGTATAACTTCTTTAGGAAGAGGAATTTTATCATTTTGACTACTAGAAGTGCATGCCACTAAGTCATCATTGTCTGTCATAAAATCTTCATTTGATGAATCATCTGCACAACATTGTTTTGAAGGCTGTGAATATGTCTCCAGGACGCATTCCTTGCTTGAAGATATACCCAGATCTTGTAAATAGAGTTTCCTCCCAATTTGTAGTTCTATTGAACCAATAAAACGGAAGCAATAGCTACAAACTAAACAATCAACCTACAATATCCAAAAGAAAATAGTATTTAATCCCCAAAAAGAGTTATAATTCTTAAATACAAAAGGCATAGCTCAAATAAATTAGTAAATCAGACCTTATTAGAACTATGTTGAGAACCGACAAGCATTTGATCCTTCAAAACAAGCTCCCCTTCTCTAAATTCTATGTCTGCATAAACACCTGCAGCTCACCAGTTGAAGAATGAAGAACATATTATGAAATGCAGATTAAGAACCATAGGTAACCAGACCTGTACATTATTGACAATGGGTTACTAATATTCCAATCCATTCCTTTTTTTTTTTTCATTTATAGCATACACTTCATGTAAAGAATGCCTAACCTCTTTTTCTCCCTAATATAACACTAAAACGTTGACGACCAGTCTGTACCCAACAAACTTAGCACAAACCTAAGCAACTAATCAAGTCAAATATCATCAAGTTGACGAAAGATCTGCACTTCATCTGTCTGAAATCCACTACTCTTCCCGTATAATGATTGTATGCTTATTAAGGAGAGTGTTCAAATCAACAATATGCGTTTCCTTATCAGAAATCCAAAGTCCAAAGGGATTTATTATAATCACCTCCTTGAACATCCACTTATCTTGTGCCAGATAAGAAAAGGAGAGAAGATACTGGGAGAAAGAAATGATAACGAATGGAGAAGAAAAATACCCTTTCCGAAGTCTCCATTCTGTTTAATTGTAAGACCACGGCATTGCCTTGTTGCTATAAGCTGGGCGAAATATTCCTAAAAGAAGGAGGATATAACAATTAAACCAACTTCAAATGGATACTGCATAAATAAAAACAAAATAGGAGAAAAAAGTTGCATTTTGATCAAGTACAGTTGAGCTCATCAGTTTCATTTCCATTCGTAGTTCAGAAAGGTTCAAAAGAAACAACCTGAGTTGCTAGGATTCATGGGAATGAAACAAAACCATGTATTATATGATAATTCTTATGATTAGTTGATAGAAATAAAAGAAAGAAGTGGAGAATAAACATGAAGAAGAAGAAGAAGGAGAAGAAGATGATGAGGAAGAAGAAGAAGAAGAAGAAGAAGAAACATGCTTGAACTTGCTGAGGAGATGGAGGTTTAAGAAGAGCTTCGATTTTATCTGAGAACTCGATGTCGAGACTACAGATGCTATTCTTCGTCATTGAAGAACACAACCCAGTTCTCTAAACGCCCTCCTGGTCCCGGTCCTGTACGATGGACGGAGCACTCTCCCCTTTCTCGGCCTTCACTTGCGGTTGCAGAATCGGGGGAGATTTCTACCTTTTCTAGGGGATGTTTGTAACCTTGGCCGTTTTTCAAAAAACGGTGCCACGTCGGATCCACGTAAACATTTCAACAAGCGCCCATATATACGAATGTTTGATTCAGGTGTTTATTGAAAAATTTGGTATTTCATGTATGAGTGAACCTTTTATCCCAAAGTTTGACTGATGTGGTGCTTATCTGTCGGTACATATATGAAAATTGGTAATAAAAATCATCTTACCATATAACATAATATTGCTCAGTATTTTTTTATAAAAAACGGGTCTTGAAAATATGCACATTTTTTCTTAAAAATCAGTTCATAAAAGCAACTACACTTTCAAACACCATCCTTGTAAGAGCATTTGCTGTCAATAGTCAATACGAGTTAATCATGGCCAGGCCAGACTTTGAGAGTCCTGCTCCTAACACAGCGCACCTCACACCGATCTGATAGCGTGTTCTCGAGAACATCTCTCATACTTCTATGTATTATTCATGGGAGATGTTCGGGTGAGATGTGACTGTGGGGTCGGCGTGAGTGGCGCTTTACGAGGAGAGATCCCAATTATACGATAAATATAGTGTTGGGGCGAGCTGGCTCTGAAGTATTGGGCTAGACCCAGCCTGAAAATTTATGAGCCTAATGCGGATAAAACCTAATACTCGCATGTAGCTTAATGGAATTTAAATGCATATATGTGGAAGGTGGAGAGAGATAATTTTAAGAAAAAAACGTTACGAGTCAAGCCAAATTTTGGTCGGGTTAATAAAGGCTAAACCCAATAACCGTGAATATTCAGACACAGATCAACCCTAAAATAACTGAAAATTCAAAAAATAAAGAAAAAACCTGAAATTCCGAAACTAAAGAAGTTAACCTGAAGATTTCAAACTTACAAGAAAAACTTGGAAGTTCAAGATTCAAAAAGTAAAAGATTAAAGAATGAAAACTTCAACATTACAGTTCAGTTCTAATAGATACAAATAGATATACAACAATAGATAACTAGATCTCCCAAACGCATATGTAAATATTCCAACAGAAATTAAAGAAAATCAAAATGACTTTATATTCAAATACATTCCATCATTTATAAATCTATTCTTCCTCTAACACTAATAGACTTGAAGCTTCCAATGATGGTTCTCTATGCACATTTGGCTTAGAAAATTGCATCTCTAATTCTGTTATTTGTATCATTAATATAAAATATTAAAACATTAATCATGTAAACAATATAATGGGTACTTACACAATGTATATGTCATCATTTAAAGAAATTTATAAAGTTTGAAACAAATGAAAATTAAAACTTATTTGACCATGACGTGAAGATGAGGAGACTGGTATGTGGTAACTTTTCTCCATGGTGTCTTCATGGTGAGAGAGGGAGAGGGGAGACAATGGAGAGAAAATTTTCAGTTGCTTTGTTAAATTCGATTTAGTATATGTTTAGCATCGATGCTGCTGATGTGTGGGTTGGAAGCACTATTTTTGAGAAAATAGTGTCTATTTTTTGTTTGGAATTGTTGCTACTAGGTAGGATGTTTCTTGAAGCAACAACAACTTTTTCTGTTTGGTACCAATGCTTTAGGAAACGTTTTCAATACTAGTACCCATTATCCAGTGCCACATCACTGCCACCTCACATCCCTATTGGCAGCAATGAGCTGCAGCTCCAGGAAACGCCAAATTCGGCATTGCTCCAAGGCATGCTTTCCAATTTCCAAGGCGTGGCTTGAAGCACTGTCTTTTATAGAAAAACGGTTCCAAACAAACACCCGTTTCTGACGTGCTGATGTGGCGTCATTTTTTAGAGCAATGGCAACGATGCCAAACAAATGCTTAGAATATTAGTGATTTAGGGGGATAGGGGGCCCTACCCATATTTCTTCAAGTGGGTTAGGTTGGGTTCACGGGATGGATTGACTTATCAGATATTGTTATTGGGAGTGAGATACTATCGGAGATGTTTCAAGAAGAAAATTTAGATAATTGAGAGTTTGAGATGGCATTGTAGGGGGGGATTCGAGCCGAGCCAAGCCGAATATTTGGTTATTTAATCTTAGCTCGCTCATAAATTATCATGCTCGATCTCGAGCTCGATTCGAATTAGAGACTTGAGCTCGAGATCGACTTGAGCCAAAAGCTTAGAAGTTCGATCTCGGCTACCTTTGATTGTAGGCCTCCTTATCTACAAAGTGTCAAGCTGAGGTCTCCTTAGCAGTTGAAGTGTTGAGGCAAGGTCTCCCTCAGTTGCCAAGGTGCAGAGCTGAGGTCTCCTTCAATTGTTGAGGTGTCGATCCAAGGTCTCCCTCAATTACCAAGGTGTCAAGCTGAGGTCTCTCTCAGTTGTCAATGTGTCGAGCCAAGGTCTCCCTCAGTAGCTGAGGTGACACCCTATGTACATATATACTCAATTAGGCTTGTGAACCTCACGAGCCGAGCTTTATTATTCTTGAGCTTGGCTTGATTAGCAAATGAGTCTATATATTAGACTCAAGTTCGGCTCAAAGCTTGGTTTAGGCCGAGCCGAGCCGAGCTTGAACAACTTGGTTCATGGTCACCCCTTCTAAAGTAAATAAAGATTAGGATAAAATATAAAACCTCCCTTAGGTTATCTAACAATCTTATAAACCTCCCCTATGTTTTGATTTTAATAAAACATTCCCTAACGTTTTGAAAAAAAACATACAAATACCCCCTTTTGTTGGTTTCTCAAATGAAGATATTAAAATTACCATAATACCCTTCTTATAGAAAAATTCTATGTAATGGGCACTAGTTTAAAAATTTATGAACTTTTTGGTGTCTCTTGGGTTTTCTTCGAAGTTTGTCCCAATTCCTGAAAAATAAAAAATAAAAGGCAAATTTCTTAAACTACCCCTAAGGTTTAGGAAATTAACTAACTATACCCCTATTGTTTCAGTATTGTCTTAAAGTACCCCTACTGTATCTAACAATTATTGCACAACTCCCTTCCCATTAAGTCCGTCTAGGGATGACAATTTTTCCCATCCCCGATGGGTACCCGGGCTCCCTGACCCGGTGGAGTCGGGTATGGGGAATGCAATCCCCGCCCTGCCCCGGCCCCGGTTAATAGATACATATATATATATATATATATATATA